TTGTGCTGGAATAAACAGTTCATTGCGTGCACTGCTGTCTCACTCCCGGATTTGTGTCCGGCGCAAACCTGAAGTGAGCCACTCGACTCTCCTATTCGTTTCGTCACCTTTGTCACGCACTTCCCAATAACTCTTAAGCTTCTGATTACTTCCCCGACTCTTATTGGGCGGACTTCACCGTTGTTACACTAAGACGACTCGCTAGAATTGGCTCAATAGTCGCGGGATCCATGTATTCTATGCAGAACCCACTGACCAGAGTTGCAAGAGCGTCGCACAAATTAGATCCAAATTTAACACAATAATAATAATAATAACTATAATAATAATAATAATAATAATAAATTAACGTGATTTTTTCCTTGATGTTGATATTAACCAGCCCATTGTCAGATCATGCAAAGGTAGCGGCGTCCAATCGGTACGCTTTACCAGTACCTACATACTTGATGTGGACACAAACTTGGCCGATAGCAAACATCCAACAGCTTGACCAAGTGGGAAGAAAGATCGTCGTGGAGGATGGAGGAAATCACCCCAAGGGATCGACAGCGATACTCTACATGTCAGTCTAGCAAGCTCGGTGGAAGAGGTCTCAAGTCCGTGGAGAATGAATACAAGAGCACTAAGATCAAAGCAGCAGTAAAGCTTTATTACAACGCTGACCCTAGAATGGCAGCAGTAAGATCTTTTGAAGAACTAGCCGTACAGAATGACCCCTTATTTAAGGACTTAACACTTCTAAAAACATGCTCTATCTCGCGGCACCCGGCGCACTCAGTCAGAAGAGGCGCAGCAGAGATGGCTTGATGAAAGTCAGGTGGGTATACATTCTGTGGTCAAAATTTTCAAGTATGTCCTTACCCTCAGCGAAAATTACCATCTCCTGAGTTCTTTAGCTTAGTCCGTCGTTCTTGTTACAACCCATCAGTACACTTGCCAAGTCGATGGTAAGATGACTAAGATAAAATTTCCCGCAATCTCTGTTAAAAGGCCTAAAAATTTTGTCACGCTGACTCATCAAATCTCGTTTTATCACACGCAAGAACTAATAATTGAGGATCCAGTCGTTTGTAGGGCAAAGCGTTATAGAGAGATTACTGGCATCGCGTTTACGGCGAACGGCAAGCGTGAGATTCAAGTTGAGAAATTCTCAAAATAAGAAATGAGCAGATAAAAACAGCTCAGAACAATTCTTATGGTTAGAACTGAAGTGAATCTACCGCTTTTCGTCTAGTCACTGAACAGTAAACAACAAGTAAGGAGAAAACTTGGTCACGTGGTACAAAATCACGTTTGCCGTTTGCCGTAAACGCGAAGCTTAATCCCTCTAATACCTTTTCCCTCGGTAATTTAAAGGACTTGAGGCACGAGTAGCTCTTACTTACGTAGGAATAAAACCCACCACTTCCCGCTCCTAGCTGGACACCGCCAGACCTCTATCAAACGAACTAATCTTTTTCACAGTCTGTTCCTCTCCGCGTGTTACGCGTTTCGCGCTCGCACTCTAAAAACCCGCCAAAGCGCCCCCAATAACACCTGTTGCGCAGGCTATTACGAATATCACAAAATTTCGGACAAAAGCTGGTCTTAAGTTTAAAAGAAAGGGTAAGGAGTTCCCAGCTAGAGATAATGGTGAAATTTTTAGCCTCCCACTGACGCACTGACGCTACAGTTTTTGCATGAAGACCTAAAATCCTCCTAAAGAGATTATTGTTTCTCGGGACATGAATTCGAGGGAGGCGATTATTTCAAATATTGCTCACTGGAAGTCGTGCCCTAAATATTTTGTTTTATTATCCCATTAAATTCAAAAAATTGTCTCATCAAATAAACGGAACGTGGGCCCCGTTTTAAGAGTTCCAAATTTTGTTTTCTTGATTAATTTTCAGAGCTTGAATCGTCACTGATTAGTTTTGCTGGATCAGATTCCACTTTAACTCGACAGAGAGGGGATAAACTTGAGATGAACTTGAGGTGGCGAGAGGGGTATTGGGGGGGGGTGGGGCGATTATTCCAGGGAGGCGATTAATCGAGGGACGGCTATTATTCAAGGCGGTACATATGAATTGCGATGTGGACAGTCATTTTTAAAATAAGATTGTATATGCGTCAGGTTCCTGATTGCGTTTCATCATGGATTAATGGTGTCACTGTACCAACGGATCTGTTCGGTGCCTTTATATTTTCCTAGCCTGCGAAAACATCCGTTTCTCCTCCCTCTTCGCCGCTGGGGACGTTTCGCGCGGAGGAACGCGTTTCTCCCCTCGCGAAACGTCCCCAGCGGGCGAAGAGCGAGGAGAAACGGATGTTTTCGCAGGCTCTAGAGAGAAGTGTGACGTAACTGGGTCACCATGGTAGCACTATTTCTGGACGACAACAAAACCAACGACGACGGCGACGGAAGGAGAACGGCAAAAAAGTAAAAGGTTTTTATTGACAAAACAACAACTTTGCACGCTATTTTGTACATTTCTTTGTCGTCGTTGCACCCCTGCGACGTGAAACTTCCTAATTTCACACGCTCATTTTATGGAGTAGGTGAACACAACACAAAAGTTGTCTTTTTCCTCTTCTAAACTTAGATACGGTCCTGTAGGATTGAACCCGAGAAAATTTCGCCAACATTTGCCAAATTAAATGAAATTGAATAAGATCGATGAACTTTGAAGGTGTGCGAACTCACTTTTTAAAATATCAACCTCATTCCCAGGGTTCTCTCCTACCCGCCTTAGGTTGCCGAAAGGTTTATTTTAGGTCTCTTACATGATGACTAAACTCAAGGCTTAGTAACCACGCTTATGACGTTGGCTACAAATTTGATAAACATGGCTGAAGAAAGGTGGGTGATATGACTTTCCTTTCCTAAAGCTCAGAGGGAAAATGTCTTTACTTTTATTGTACACTTTTTTAAAATGCTGGATCTTATTTCTTTTCATAGCGGAGGTGCTGGTTGGTGGGGCTCGTGGGGTTCGGAACTCCTTTCAAGTGTTCGCGATAAGGTCGGTATGCTGCAGAGTAGCTTTGATGATGTTTTTTATAAATCTTCCTCTTCCGCTGGGCTGTGAGTTTTTGACATTGCATAAAGTGAAAACAGTAACGTAATGGCACAAAGCTTACTCCTGTGATTTTCTTAAAGATAAAGTGAAACAACATGGCTAGGGATTGTAATCATCTGTTTATACCTAGTTGGAAGGTTCGACTTAAGCTTAACATAATTTAGCTAACTCATTTAAACGAGGAAAAAAAAATTGAAGAATGGTCATGTGGCTGGTGGGAATCTATACATGGCTTTCTGCATGACTTCATAGATTTTAAACTTGTTCATAAACTAAACAACGCTTAAACGAACAGTTCAGAGCAATTTTTTGCAAAGGTTACCCTTAAAAAAAATTGTGAGACATTTTGTCCGAATAATGCATAATAGTGATAAGTCTGTTGTTCTTTTTTAATAAGTCTGCTGAAGCTTTGAACATGGTGAAGCATGACTTGTCAGAGTTTGTTTCCACCATTCATCATGATACATCTGCCGTAGTGGCTGATACGGCTACAGCTGTTAAAGAAAGTCTGAAGGTAATGTATACAAACCGTAAAAGTATTGAACCCTTTATTCCCCAAAATCACCCAAAAACAATGAACCAAGGAGTAAGTGGAATATGAATTTAAGGAGGAGGAAGGCTGGGGGTGCTTTGTGATTTTCTATTTTGGCCTTTTATTTTGCCATTTTTTAGATAGATTTTTCTCTTTTTGCTCTTGGAATCTGGAGTTGTCACTTTTACAGTTTTCAGACCTGCGAAAATTTTCCCAGATCCTGAGAAATCATTAGAAATAGGAAGGATTCTTTCCTGTACTGATCATGATTACTTCAATTTGGCAAAAAGATCACAAAATAATATAATTCAACCAAATGAAATTATTATTTTGAATGCCCGTGTCACTAGTTGAAAAAGTTTTTGAGGGCTACATCTGAATATGGTTGTTGTATGTCCTTCATGAATGTTGTTGAATTATCTTTGTTAGGTAGAAGAGGAGGAATCAGAAGGGACATCAGCTCGTGTTAAACAAGGTACAGAATATGACCAGAAAAAAACAAACCAAAATTCAAAGCAAAACAACAACAGCTACATAAACAATGTACAGACAGTCATAGACAGTCATTTAGAGCTGTGTTACGTGTTATGCCAAGATATCATGTGATTGTATCATGTGACTTTGTTGCTTGGCCCAGATTTTTGTATGTTGAGGACAGTTTCACATAACTGTTTTATTACTATGGCTGAATAATCTATCCTGGCCTTATAGGTGTGTCCAAATTTCTTGGGACCTTGTCCAATAGCTTGAGGGAGAACATTTCTCATGTAACTGCCGCTGCTGCAGTCACTTCCGATGGTCCTGAACCAGTCTTTGACAGAATGCAGGTATTTGTTGAATCTGGGGTCCTTCAATTCCAATTTTTACATTTTTTAAAGTTCTTTATTTGGTATTTGTCTTTCCCTGGTACAGACTGTCATAGCTATTGTCCATCACTTGAATTGCTGCATGCAAGATCTTTTAGTTAAAGTTAGTGAATAGTTTACATTCATATACAAGCTAACCTATGCTTAATGATAAGATAAGTTATCGGTCAAAATATTCCGCATAAGGGATAAGAAAATTTACTTGAACCTTAAGCTGAGTAGACTTGCTGGAAGAGGGGATATAAATATTCAAATGCATAGAGAATTTCCCTGGGAACAGCTATGGCCAGAAGAGCGTGCTATGTGGGAGCATGCAGCTATCCAATGATTCATTTGTCATACAGTGGCTTTTCATCAATGAGTATAGTTTGTTGATTATCTGCAGAAACATTTTTTTGATGAGTGCAGTGATCAGTGATAATAATGTAACAATTGTCATTGTGAAAGACAGTCTTCTGTACTGTGTTATGACTGCTTTCCATATATGGTAAGTGCTACAGTTGCTATGATATTCTGTCTAGAGTGCTGGACCTGGAAACTGCTGAGACTTTACTTGGTTAAACACTTACATCCCTGACTCCCAGGCACTTAAGATCCTCTTGGTCTCTCCTTCCAATAAATAACCTTTAAACCAGTTGCAATATTATTAGTACCTTTGAATTTCACATGAATGCACAGTTACAGTTTATGCATTCTGTTTTTTAATTTATAATAGAAAGTGGGGAAAATCTTCAAAAGCCTTTACTGTAATTGTAGTGCCTAATCATTTCATGAAAATCAATTTTTTCAAAGGCACGACTTCATGAAATTCAGACAGATCCATCCACATTTTGCTCAGAGCCAGATGGTATGAAGTGAAATCTGATTCCTTTATACAATTTAATAATAGTAATCTTGTGATAAGCAGCTTTTTTTCTTTATATACTATTTTGTACTTTACTGTTTTGATCATCTACAGGTGTATAAACGTATTGTAGCAGTACTGATCTTTGGGCATATTGCGGCATTCACACTTGCCTTATTTCATGCATTTAATCAGAAATAAATTGTAAGATTTGCTGATTAAGCTTTATTCTATGGCATTAGGTCATTTTGGAATGTATGAGGAGTGGTGCAAAACATTTGACCCAGAACAGCACAAGGGGGAAATATCTGAGCTGCTTGTGAATGTGCCTGAAATAAGGGCCCTCTATGCAAAACTGGTATGTCTGACATTATTTTATTTCCTTTGTTAAGACTTTTGTGGAAGCAAGGGAACATACAGTAGTTGGGAGTCACTGATTCAACATCTTGTGCAAGCAATTTGCTAGAGTAGTTGGCACCATAAATTCCTTTGTAAATTGCAAATCCTTACGGATAAACTCTGAACAAGAACAGTAATAAAATGCTATTTCAATATGGCTAAAAAGTTAAAAGAAACAACCAAGTGTTTCATAGTAGCTGGGGAAAATTCCTGGCCTACAGCCCTGAGTTACAGCCCGGGCTCTAGTCATTTAAAAGATGGATTGTGCTAGCCACTGCATAAATTACTGTCCAGCGGATAATGCAGTTGGTTTTCCTAATACTTATTGACTGGACAGCAATTTTTCTAGTGGATAGCGCTATCCAGCTTTTGAACAGCTGGGGCCAGTGTTGTAGCACTGCTAACTGTGATCTGTAGCAACTGACTATTGACTTGATCATTTGACGTTAAAGTGTTCACAAATGTAGGTCAGAAGCTATTTTGTTTTCCAGGTTCCTAGCGCTGTCAGTCATATCCTGTTTTGGCAGAGATATTTTTACAGAGTTCATCAGCTTGAACAGGTGTGGTATTAACTTTTGTTCCTGTATGCTTGCCCAAGTTATCAAAACAAATGAATTTAAGTGAGTGAAACATCTACATTTCACATTTTTCAGATGCTGCAGTTAATGTGAAATGTACAGTACCGATTAAAAATAACTTAATTCCAGTCTCGTCTCCTTCCAAGAAAAGCGGTGCATAGAAGTACTTTCATCGTTAAGTCCATAACCATTCCAAAGATGCTTGATACTTGAACTTTTTCCACCTTCTCATGAAATGACTTGACCATCTCTTGAGACAAGACTCTCATCCTGTAAGAGGTTGAATGTTACTGTAGAGCTGAATTAAGGCTGCAAAGCATTTGGGTGAAAGGGAGAGAAGGGAAAGCTTTTGTTTTGTTTTGTTCGTTTGTTTTCCCCTACTTGCTGGCAGGCTATGCTGAGTTTATAATAATTTTTACTCAAGTCTTGTAAAATGAGTGTTTAGCTTTTTCAAGTACAGTGTAACTCCGCCCTACGACCACCTCAGTAATACAGTCACCTTGTTATTACAGCCACTTTTTTTCAGCCCGGCAAAATGGCCATACATTTTCTTATAAAAAAACCCTTTAAAGCTGTCACCCGTTAATACGACCAACGGCCAAATTTTAAAATCCTAAACAGTAGACTCTTTTATGATTTCACCCTGTTAATATGTTCACTCGTTCAAAATTTAGAAGATTAAAATGCCTGTGACATGTTGATTTCATTGACCTAGTAAGCTGAGCCTGTTCTTGTACTGTTTTTAGACTACAGTACGGTTAAAAGGCACATATGGTGGCTTAATAGCCAGTTTCTTAGAAGGGCTTTGTGTTTTACTGAAGGAAAGTTTCACATACATGTAGTTTAATATACATTTACTGTATGCGATATTGACTAAATTCGGGTTGTTTATTAAGGAAAACAGTTGTTCAGCAAGTGCAAAAGCAATGTACAGACTCTATGGTATGTTTGACATATAACAGGCCTCAATTCATGAAGTTTGACCGTGCCCAGTAATACAGCCAAATTTTTTTGGCCCATTGGTGACTGTGTTAACGGGGTTCTGCTGTATTCATAGAAAATCATGCATGTCTGTCATGTCGAGGTTAGTGGGACCTACTGTGATGGGCTAGCATTTTCCCAGACTTGTACAATGAACTGTTGCTTGTTTTACATCATACCATTGGTTTGTTCAACATGCATTACGAGGTGTCTGCTTTAGAGAGCTCTTAGGACTTACTCAATAATAGACTTTTGATTGAATGCCCAACAGGAAGAAAAGAAAAGGGCAGCACTTGTTGCAAGGGCAAATCAAGCAGAGGATGAAGAACTAGGATGGGGAGATGATGGTTTGTACAGTTAGCACAAGAAAAAGGGATAAGTTTGTTCTTCTTGTGCTTGTGCTTATGCTTATGTCGTAGCTTTGACTGGTGAAAACGGGGTCGACATAAGCACAAGAATGAGCAAAAGGCCATAACCCAATCATAGGCCACTTTGAACCAGACCTCATGCAAACATATCAAAAGCAATATGGCAGACCCTTCATCCGCCATCTTGTTTATCATCGGGTTGAGGAGAGCTGGTATCGAGAATTGAGTCAAATAGGCCATTCTGCGCGTGCACATGTCTTTATTCTTATGCTTATGCACTAGTGAAAACCAGGCTTAAGTGGCTTTAATAAATTGTGTTAAAGATATTACTAAACTTTATCAAATTTGCAGTGCCAGAAAAGGTTTTGAAATGTGCTACTTGTCAACACTGTAAACCATATGCACGTGGTGAACAAGCTTCCTGATCACTAATGTAGGCAGCATTTTAATGCCTGTGTACATGACATCGTAATATTTATTATGGATAAAAAGTGAACATTATTCTCATCATAACGCTCGCTAGAATGCCAAGCTCATGTGGATGCCTTTTCTTTAAGTGGTGAGGTAGATTAATGTCTGGGCTTTTCACACACCTGAAGGTGTTGCATTTCATGCTTATGTGTGTTGTAAACACCAGAGACATACTCACTGAAAAAAATGTCCTAATAGTTTTAACATTATTTGCTTATAATGGCTGAAATTCTTCATTGTTTCTGTTTTTATTCTTTTGCCAACAGATTTGTGGGATACTGAAGAGGCTGGAGTGGAAAGTGTTTTGAATAAACACGTCGAAGGAAGCAAGGATGTTGTACTTGATAAAAGAAGTTTAACAAGAGTAGATGCAAAAGAGCTGATGAACGAAGTGTCTGATCAAGGAAAGTCAGAACAAACTGAGGCGGCTAAAAAAATTCCCACAGCTGTGGAAAAACAGGAGAAAATTGATGACATGACTGCATTGAACAAAGATACAAGCGAAGAAACCAGAGAAGGAGACAAATTGGAGTTGAAGGAGAATAAGGAAACTCTACAAGAAGATGCCACTGAATTGTCGGTATCTAAAAGAACTGAGCAAATGCTACTGTCTCAAGAAACTAAACCAGAGATCACTAATGTGCAACAAAAAGATCCTCCCACGTCTGAGGTATCAAACTTACAAACAGCAGATAAACCAAGTGATGCAACAACAAGTCATGAACTTCAAACAGCAACTCATAAACGGGACAACTCAAGCGGCTCTGTTGACAGCTCCTGGTCCAAGCTTAGTGAGGCCAATAGTGATAAAGAAGGTATGAAGTAGTACACAGTATTAAATTTATCAAACAGAAAAAGCTATATTGTTTCAGCACAAGAAGCTTTCTGAAGAAATTAGGGACAGGCTTGGTAAAATAATAATTTCCTTTTTAAACTTTTGGGCTTTGTTGGAGTGTCTCATTATTTATTATTGATCAATGAGAATTCTAAGCAGTTATGGTGATTTTAAATAATCGCACCTTCCGAATTAATTGCCCCAGTGGAGAACCCCTGAACTTATATTTGTTAATAGTAACTGAGAGTTTGAGAAGCTTTGGAATAGGTTTGTAGACAAAAAGGCGATGGAAAGACTCACAGTAATCAAGTAACTGTTACAAGTCGATGTTTCAGTCTGTTATACTGGGATCAATTTGATAAAACGTTTACAAGTGTAATTTTTTCCTGTTAGAGAAAAAAAGCTGTACTTTTAATTTACACTTCGAACAGTTTTATTAAATTGAACCCTGATGTTTTGTCGCTTGAGCCCTATTTACTGTATATAACAGTTGACAACCTTCCTTCACCTTTCCAGGTAGCTGCAGTAGAGAAAGAATCACAGGGTCTGGACACAGCTCCAGTTCGTCCAGTGGGGTACTGGTACCTAGTGTGGATGACAAAGATGTGGACTGGGATGAGGATCTGGATTTAGATGCTGATGACATGTCTGAAGAGGAAGTAAAACGAATCATGGAGAACATGGCTGCAAATAAACAAGAAACAGGAAATCAGGAAGATGCAGATGTAGATGTGAGTTATTTTTAATTCTTACTCTGTTAGCATTGTGATCCAAGCTTATTCCTTTTTTCATGCTTAAAGAACGAGAGTTGTAGATGCGGCGAACCGGATCTGATACATTTCTTTGGGGCCAACTGCGTATAACCTAAAGTCAGACGTAACTACTAACGTCATTACGTTACGATAAAGAGTTTGACTGGCCTGAAAGTCAGACGTTAGTGGTTACATTCAACGTTAATACTCAGTATGCGGCTGGCCCTTGATGTTTGGCCATAAAACAGTGGACTGCAAAACAAGCTCCCCTCTGGGCCAAGACGCCACGATCTTTTGTCCATATATCTGTTATTTACCAGTATTATAGTAGTTCTAAGTAAGCCAAAGCCCATTTCTGAAATCCTCCAAGATTCACTCAAAACAAGGGTAAGCAAGAGCGAAGGCGTTGAAGATTTGTTTCCTGAAAAAAAAAAAAAAAGAAATGGGAAAAACATGTTATTTTCATATGAAATAGCTAAAGAAATTAATCTGGCCAATGTTCAAAATTCAAGCAAGGAAGACGCGGCAAAACGCGTGCCATCGTATCATGCGCTTTAACACTTGATTGGTTGAAAGTGTAGCGAACGATTCTGCAGCAAATGGTGTACTTTGATTAGCCATTTTTGAGTTGCCCCAAGCCTCTTCTTTAACCCTTCAAGCCCCAATATCCACATACAAATTCTCCAAACTGATCTCCATACATTTCCTTTAAGAATTAGTTGAGAGAATTTGATGGCAGATCAAAGTATTTTCTCTTTAGTGATTATTTCATAAATTCTCATAACCTAGTCTCTTGACGAGGTATGAATATTGTTGGGAGAAAATTGATGTTGGTTACCGTTGGGACTTAAAGGGTTAAAGCAGGGCTAAGTGCGAAACCATTGATTTGAAAATGATTTTTATTCTCATGAAAATTCATTATCGCAAGAAAGGTTTTGCACTTGGACCCACTAAGTTTTGAAAGTGAGGGGCTTTGGAACTTGGAAATAGCCCATTGTGTATGATGCTGTGAAGCGTCATGTGTAGAGACAGATATAGTGATTGATGTTGTTTAATCAACAGGACGATGATTGGGAGAACTGGGACTGATGGACTAGAGTTGCCGCGAAACAAGCTCTTAATTCACGATGTTTTATCGATTCCACTCGCAAGTGATGCGAGTTAAAAATTTAAGAAAGCATTCAATACCTACTTTGTCATAATACTGGAAAACAAAGAGTACCACAGGATTTTATGGCCACAAAATTTGGCCGGATTTTCCAGTGTAAAATTGCATTTTGGTGGGGAAAAAAACTGATCTAGCGTCAGGGAAATTATGAACCCCCTGCAAGAGAAGGGCAGTCTGTTCAGTGTGTTGTTGGTTATCTTACAAAACCATTTGTAGTTTTCGCCGCTTCGAATTTAAACGGTTACTTTTCTTTCCTTTTGAACCATGGTTTCTTATTGGAATTTGCCCCAGCGTCGGTTCAGATCATTTTTTGTGCGTAAATTGTTTATGCTTTAGAAAGACTTTTGCGGTCCGTCCGGGGGCGATAAATGGTTGAGTTTCATCCTTGGTTTAAACTTTATTTTCCTTTGTATCAAACTCATTGTCATACACCATCATATCCAAAAACAAAGGAAAATATAATTTAAACCAAGGATAAAATTGAACCACAACATATGCATGAGTGAGTTCCCTGGGACCAAATTCACAAAATCCTTGTAAGTTAAAGAGTTTTCTTTTTCTTTATTTTATGGGACAAGTTTAGGAGGAACTTTATGAGAAGAAGCTCATCAGTGATCAATAATAAGGTCTTGCGATCGTAATATTTTTGGCAATGGCATGGATATATAAAGTTAAGGAATAAAATTAATTTTCCTCTATATCTTGCTTATATTTACCATGCGTCCACGTGATCGTCTCATCATTTGTCAAGCTGTCCATTGCTGGTGAGCGAGTTTGCTTTACTACCAAAGATTGCATCGCTCTCGTGTCTTCTTCCGCGTGCCGCTCACGCGTGGCTTCTCGCGATTCCCCCAAATGGAGAGCTTGCTGGCAGATGTGAGGCAAACCAGTTGGCTATTTACAGCCCGGTCATGACCCCAAAAAGTAGCCAGAGCGCTCGCCAGGGATTGAACACGGAACGACCGAGTCGAAATCTTGGGGCCCCGTTTGTCGAAAGTTCGAGTAATAGACCCACGGCTTTTTCAACTTTCGCCATGGACCAGTAAGGTAAAATATGGCGGCACTACTTGTCTGGGAAATTATGAGCCTCCAGAAAGAAAAGGACAGTTTGTTGTTCGCATGACAAAACCATGCCTAGTTTTCGCCGATTCGAATTTATGCATCAGCCAATTGAACCCTGGCCCCCCGACCCCCGGGGTATAGTTGGGGATAGCGGGGATTTAACGCGGTCAATGCCGGGATTTAACGCACATTTAATAATGTGTTGACCCCGGGGGCGGTGGAATTAGCAAAATAATTGTTTGAACCAGGTCATGAACAGGGATTTAACAGCATATACCGACGCATTTTCGGAAGCGGGGATTGAACATTTACAAAGTCATACCCACTCTCCCTTCACCCCTTTCTTTTCACCCACTTTCGTCCTTCTATGTCCGCACCTTGGAGGACTTCTACCTCTGGCCTACCTTATTATAGGAAATTACACTTCATGAAATTAAGGGACCTTTTATTTTTTTATCAGGTACAGTGTAGGCGGGGCTGGTGGAATTTGAGGGAGAGAGGAGTGCTATGAGGAATTCAGGAGAAAATTTTGGGTGTAAAGGAAGGGTCACCAAAACATTTCTACAAGTTTTGCATTGACGGCATCTGTAATGATGCAAACTGCCTACCAGAATACCAAAAACCAGTGTTTCTGACGTCCAGAAAGTTTAGATTTTCCCTGGGAAACATGCCCCCAGCCCCCTACTTTATTGTGCACCAAAAAGCAATTGTACCCCACCAAAATGTAAAATTTGCGTGACATCATATTAACAAACCAATTAAAAACAACATGGCCGTGATCGTCTGTTCTCTGCTTATGGCAATTCAAAACAAGTAGCAGTCATTTTTCATATTTTGTTCATCCTTTCTCCCTGTCTCTATTATTTCTTTCTTTTTTTTTTTTTTTTTTTGGAGGAGGGGGGAAGGCTACCTCAATTAATTGGGATACAAGGGGCCAACCCCAAATAATTTCTAATTAACAGGGGGGTCATCATATACAACAGGAGCTATTCGTCAATTTCCACCATCCCTCATAAAAAAAGGAAAGGTCCCTAACCAAAATTTCTGTTAATTTAGAAGTTGCATTAATTTTCTGACACTCGTTCTCTCTTGTACCATCTTATCAGGGTCGAGATCCACCAGTAACAGTAAAACTGTGAAGAATCTTCAAAGTGGCCAGGTTACTTGGCTTCATTCATTTAGGGAAAGTACCAAGAACAAAGTATCCACTTTGAATTATACGTTTAAAATGTTCCTGTGGTCTCAACAAGCCGAATGTCGCGTTAATTTGCTTTTGAAATTTTACCCCCTCTTTCGCTTTAATTTCCTTGGAGCGTTAATTTCCTATAATAAGGTGACAGGAAAAAATGGCTGGCTACGCGCGCTGGCTTAGCCTGACTTTCAGATACTCCTTCAAGTCGCCTACGAGCATGTGGCTCGAATGTCTGAAATTCAGGCTAGCGTTGGTTAGCCGCCATGGATCGAGACATGACAGACATTTAAGAGGCAGTCTCCCTAAAAGCGTTCCACTCGATTTTGGACTCGCAAAAACTTTTGCCTCATATTTTTATCATCAACACTACTATCCATCCTAATAACGAAACTGCAGTTAGAATGAGGAAATTGTTTATTTTACTGCCATTCCCAGCATTTCATTGCTGGACGACCGTTAGCGGCTAAAATATGCAAATTTTAGATGCCGTTTTACAGGTTTTTTAACGATCGTTTAAAAGTACTTCGGGTCATCAAATCCTAGACTATTGCACTCATTTGGAAGTATATTACTTCTTCTTACTGTTCCAATACCATTTAGGCATTATCTTTCTGTAATCAGCAAAAACTGGTCGTCTTTATTTCACTAACCCAATTAAGAAAGCAAGATGCACGAATAAATGCCTCAAAAACATCTCAAAATTCTCAAAAGTGGCACCTAAACTAGAACTAAAAACATGTTTTAGTTAAAGATTAATAGCTATTTTGTCAAGTTATGCAATAAAACTTGTGGCACAACGCGATTCAGAATTGAAGGATTCGACCTAAATTTGCATATTGATGCCGAATTCGCGTGGCGTGATACGGGCCGCAGTGACAGTAAAAAAATTCTTCGTGATCCTACAAAAGACAATTTTTCTGTTTTATTTTTTTCTTGTTTTTTTGTTTCTTTTTTTTTACTTTATCAACAAGAAAAATCGTAAATAGGTTAAGCTTATAGAAGTTTAAGTTTACTTTTCCACTGACCTTCGTATTAATAGTCTCGGCCGGCCGTCCTTTGTTCGACTCCCAGTAGTTGGCCTTCTTATTAGTAGAGTGGGTCAGGAAAAATACGCATTTCTCTCTACCCCACCCCTTCGCCCTTTTCTTACTGGCATCCCTTGGAGGGTCGCCCCCACAGTCTGAACGTCTGGAAGAGGCTATTCGACATACTTCAATCGCGTTCTAACGAACATTTTTGTTTTACAGATAACATTAACGAGAACAATGCTTCTCCTGTCTTGTGACAGGTGGAAGAATTTACATTTTGTAGCTAGAATGTCCTTCACACATTCACCTTTACACTATATGGGACGATGGTACACGGTAGTCCTTAAAGAAAAATTAAGAAAATGTGGACTGGAGTTCAAAGAAGTAAAATCAACAATCCGTTAATTACGTCTACGCCACAATAGGTCTCGTACTTATAAATTCTTATCAAGTAAATTGTTTTTTGCCCTTAAAAAAATGAAATCAGCTGTGAAATGTACATTGAATTAAGTTAGTGTCCGGACACCTTTAGGAATTTGATATTAGTATAAATTCTAAGATGTATAAATCTACCGGCCTTCGATCACAAATCTGATTGTCTATATACAGTGCTAGTGCTATGCTGGTAATGCTGTACTCTATCAATTTCGTGATGGACAGCGAGTGAAGTGACTGAGTAGCCAGGGGTAGCCAGACAGTGTTCGGTTGTAACCTTTTTTATACCACCACCGAATAAAACCGTTAGCCTGTCAAGTTGTTAAGCTTGTTATATTGTTATATTTGACTGTTTTAGGGAAATTTGTACCAGATCTTTGTTTACTCGCACGCAATCTCGCTCGTTTTTTGTTTTTGTATTTTTTTCATAAGATTTGTGAAGTATTTGCGGTCTTTATATTCTTTGTCATAGCATCTCGGTATGCAGACATATAAAAGCAATAAGATCCTCTCTGAGTGGCTCAACAAAACTGTCCGCGGTAGGCTGGTGCATCAAATGAGCGCCGCACTGTAGTCGCAAAAACGAAATGATAAACGCGGTGGCGCTTAATTTAGTAAAATCGATATCAATATGAATTTGGATCCACACGGAGGGTCCAAAGGCCGATTTTTAAAAATGTGATCCTAGATCCTTCAGCTGTTGTTCAGATGTATGTATTTTTACATCATTAACGTGGTAGAATGCAAGCGTCTGTAAGAACAGGGTAATAACCGCTAACAAGACGTGAGACGAGAAAAGACGTAAAAACAGTGTAGGGTCTCGACCTGGAGAAATGTTCATGCTCGGGAAACCTTCGACAATGCCGGATTCAGACTTCACGTCAGTTCTCACCTCTACTGATTGTTCGAATTCAGAGGTTTTTGTCCACGTTGGGCTTCAATAGAAAATTCTGTCAGTGAATTCTCCATGGTACTAAACAATTGTCATGAGTACTCTCAGTAATATGCCTAAAGGTAGGTAATCACGATTTTGGCAATTTAACTCCGACTCCAAATAAGGTTTAGATATGCGCTTATCACTTTCCGTTTCACGCGTGTATCTTGTGATATTCAAATCCGTCAGGTCATAAATAAATGATATCAAATGTGCAAGTGCATCAGCTGACTGTGTAACTTTATGCCATACTGCAACACTGATTAATATCAGGATATTTGACTTAAAGCCACTTCCTACTTTTCTCCATAACTTCATCACTCACTACTGAGTTTATCATTGTCTGAACTTGAAGTTACGATTATGACAATACCCATTGGCCCTTTTGTCGTTATCTTATCACAGATAAAGGAACTAGTGATAAGGATATTAGCAATGATTTTATGATTTTATACGTACGTGATCCCATCCTTTAAAATAGATGGTATACGATCTTAGCAATCTCCACACCAATTACATGCCCGTCCTTGGTCCTAATATTCCTTTCTTGGTCCTCTATACGAGGTGTCCGCCAAAATCGTCCGAGTTTATATGCCGATATTTGTCGGTAATCCCCGGGAGGACTTTCATATAAAAGTGAAGGGCTGCTCGTCGGAAAATTAATAACTTATTATTTAAACCCCTAAGGGAGGCCAATGTGGGTGTGGCTCAAGCTTAAACTGACCCCTAAAGGAGATTTCTGTGAGGTCAGCGTCACCGCGTTTTTTTTTTTTTGGCAAATTTCTTTATGCACAGCCTTAAGCGATACCTGGATGAGCATATTTAGGTACTTTCCGTCCCAAACAACCGAAGTGAGACCAAACTCTGCAAACGACGAGCACCCACGTCACTTTTGCATGGGAGTCCTCCTGGGGAAGCAGATCACCATCTGTTTCACTTGATTTTTCGTAAGGTCAATGATTACCATCTTTTGAGAGTATTGGGTCGGCTTCACTTAGTTCAGACTTCGATGGATGACAGGTTTCATGGTAAGAAGTAATGGTGTCCTGACAATCGTGTACTTTTATCAGTTGGGAAAAACGCGTGAACTTCCACACTTTATTTTCTTGTTACTTTCACTGATGTTGCACGATTCGAAATTAATGTTGAAACTTTATTATTTGCGTGTGCCAACTTCTTTATTAACTGGCTGCGATACAAAAGTAGCCTTAGACTCCAGACTGTCTCTTGGAGCGTGAAAACAAACGCTGACCACTGTTAATAGGAAGAAACAGTCAGGAAATGGAAGAAACCTACTAATTGAAATTTCATTAACAAAGTCTTCAAATATGGGCTCCTGATCAGTGGAAGGTAAATAAAGGAAAATTGTAAGTCGTCGTTCACAGTCCAGTACTATCGCCCCATGTTAGCGAATACAAGACAGTCGTGGATTCTGGATCCCATTCCATGGATTCAGGATTCCGGTGCTGGATTCCAGTCTTTTCCGGTGGAATTTCATTCCTTAGTAGGGTGCTTGAGCTCTATTCTGGATTCCAAAGCCCTGGATTCCGGATTTCATATCAAAATTTTCCCGGATTCCGGATCCTACAAGCAAAAATTTTCCAGTTTCCGGAATCCGGATACCCTTACGTGGGGCGAAGTACAAGTCAAACATTTTCTGACCTGTTCACGCATATTTAATCAAGCAGTTGGGAAATTTACTTTTCTTCTAACGTTCGATTTTATAATATGATGGATCGGAGTAACTTCTGGTCAATGCAGCTTTTTCAGACTGGACCACATTTTAAGCTAGAAGAGGTTTGGTTCTGAAAAGGTATTTTTCCGTCTTGACATAACAGACTTAACACGAATGTTCGGGGCAGTGGGAATATTAAATGAAGCTTGGAAAGGTATCTTTTACTCGCTGAACTAATTTTTGAACAATATATATCATTGGCAAAGGGAAAACGGAATTTTAATATAGTTTTGGTGGGAAAGTGAGGCATATCTTACTTAAAAAAGTGGCAAGTATTTCAATAACTGAGGATTTTGTTGTGACAGCAGCCGGTATCGTCACGCAACGCAAATTGAACATTTGCCTAAATTTGAGTTGAAACCTTCAATTCTGAATCGCGTTGTGCCACAAGTTTTATTGCATAACTTGACAAAATAGCTATTAATCTTTAACTAAACCATGTTTTTAGGTCTAGTTTAGGTGCCACTTTTGAGAATTTTGAGATGTTTTTGAGGCATTTTCTCGTGCAGTTTGCTTTCTTAATTGGATTAGCGAAATAAAGACGACCAGTTTTTGCTGATTACAGAAAGATAACGCCTAAACGGTATTGGAACAGTAAGGAGAAGTAATATGCTTCCAAATGAGTGCAATAGTCTAGGATTTGATGACCCGAAGAACTTTAGAACGATCGTTAAAAAACCTGTATAGCAGAGACTAAAATTTGCATATTTTAGCCGCTAACGGTCGTCCAGCAATGAAATGCTGGGAATGGCAGTAAAATAAACAATTTCCTCATTCTAACTGCAATTTCGTTATCAGGATGGATAGTAGTGTTGATGGTAAAATTATGAGGCAAAAGTTTTTTCGAGTCCAAAATCGAGTGGAACGCTTTTAGGGAGACTGCCTCTTAAGGCTCCACGTCCGGGGCATAATTTGACACCACCAGCAATCAGCTCCTAACACCACCAAAGGTACTTAAAAGGTGGGTGCTTACAGCATTTTTCTGTGCATTTATTTTCCGGGCACATAAATTTTTAGTTCAGCCCTGTCGACTGTGCGGAGCCCTGGGAACCAGTAGCACAGATTCCCCACCCACTAGCCCCTCCCCGAGTTTATTTTAAGTCGATGACGTCATAAATAGAAACGTGCTTGCCGCTTGCCAACAAAACACAACATGGCTGACGAGGATAATGGCGACTCTCCGAAAGATGATTGTGAAAGTCGCCTCCATATCTCTCGCCAGACACTTAAAGGGCCGGAAAAAGAACTTCAATCAATTTTTAAAAAGCTCAGAGTTGATAACAGACCGTAAGTAGTGATCTTTGTTATTATTTTGCTCCGATATTATCTTGGAGGCTGTGGATACTATTTCTGAAACGAGCTTTGTTTACGACAAATTTATCAAATGTTTTTTGGTCATATTTTCGATGACCCAATGTAAAGCAAATAAATTTCATACTTTTGGATACATCGTTTGTTATTCTAGCAGCAGTTATTGGACAGAAAGACTTCATTTCGTCATATTATACGGGTTTTCTTTATCACACATATATGCATGCGCGCATGATTGAGGTGAATAGAGTTTAACAGAGTTTTTGGATTTTTGGGCTGAATTTGAACTGCATACTATGTAGTAGCTTGCTACTTAGTTTGTACTTCTTGTGCAATATTCATTGACCTTAAGACAGTAAATTGTCTTTATTAAGGAAAACCGTATCCCCTGCATGTACTTCCTTTTTTATTTGGGTAGCCTGTTAACTCCAGTGCAAATTTTTGCCCATGGCACATGCTGATAACAGTCATCTCTCTTTTTTTTTAGTTTTAATTGATAAGAATGGGCTATTTTATTTTAGTGATGTATAAGTACATGGAGAAATGTTCAAATCAGATGAATTTTTGCTGACTCATCATACTTCAAGCAAAGAAGTGTTGTTCGAATATTAAATTCGTTTTAAGCAGGATGAGAGATTTAATCCAAAGGTTAATTCGAATAATATTATTTTGATGATTTTTTTTTCACTTCCTTGGGGATTTTACTAACAGTATGTTTCAGGGTCTTCGATTTCCTTTCAAAATTACCCCTCAGTGCCCCAAGGAACTTCCTCTACAGAGACAAATTCACTGTGGGAGTCCAAATATTTTTTACTGTTATTGTCTTCATACATACTTTCTGATGGAAAGGTCAGTGTGTTTCAGTTTCCTTTAAAATTGTACCACTCAGGATTCCAGAAAAAAGTGTTTTTCTGAAACGATCTTTCCAGCTAGAAGTACTTTCCCCTCGGACCTATAAATATGATTCTGTAGAGAACGGTATGGAAAGAAAATCCTCAAAAATCTGCATCTCTTTTAATTGCTACCAAATTTGGCACATAAGAAGTGGACTGTATGAGCCATTTACGTGGCTAGTTTCAGGCCTTGACCGTGGATAAGCTTGTCTCAACAATTTTTTTGAAAGTGGCGAAAAGTGGCCGGCAATGCAGGAAAAAAATTTACCGTGGTTTTAGCAATCAAGAAATGCTTTTGACGATGAATAATTATGGCAGTAAACCTGTCTTACAACAGGACACCACTTGAATTATCAGATATCAAATGACCAAGAAAAACTGAGGTAAATGATCAGTGAAAATCTTAGTGTCTCACTTCTCACAAGAGTGTTGCCAGCCTTGAGTTTTTCCAATGCGATGAAATGCTTCTTAGTTTGGCTTTTCATCCCAAAAAGCCTGCTTCTTTTCCTAAAATCTATCTGTAAGTTGATGTTCCTGAGCGCAGAGTTTGAAATTTGTAAGCAAACCTTTTAACTTACTTTGCTAAAATTACAGTTTTTGTCACATGGTGTGCAAATGAATATTTAACTAATTAGCATAACCTGTTGGCATTGTAAAAAAAAGGTAGTAAATTCTGTGTTTCCCACTATCTATGGCACATAAGCAGACTATTTTGCTAAGACATCAAATTTTAATCTTTGTCCCAACATCACTTTGCAAAAATCACTTTTTTCATCAAAAGGATTGCATGATTTTAATAAAACGAATGTTTGTTATTTTGTTTGTGACATATTATGGGTTACTATAAAGTAAAATATTTTTTCTTGAAAGAACATTTCCTGCCCTTTCAAAAGAGATATATATAGCTTTCCATGCTGCTGTAAATACTGGCTGAGATATGATTTTTTATTTGAACAAGGTAAATTTTGCCATTTTTGGATCAGAGGGAAATAAGTTAAGTATGTTTACTATTGCATCCTAGTACATCTTACATTCCATCTAAGTATCTATTATAAATCCTTTGGAAATGAAACTACATTATTACTGTTGACCTTTGGCAACCCAGGGATTTGACTAGACCTTATTTACCATAGTTTTTCTCTTTTTAGTTTTTTGCTCCATATCAATACCATTTTTCCCACTTTCTATGCTAATAACAGAGGTCGATCTTTGCCTTTTTCCCAGTAATGTTCTTCTATTTTTACAGGAAAAGACTTCATAGGAGGGCAAGACTGGTGGCTCTTAGAAATTCAGTGAGTAAAGACAATGGAAGCAGACAAAGTGTGAGAAGGATTCTTCGACAACCAACATTTATCTATAAGAATCAACAAGCATCATCATCTGTCTACAAAAGTCAACACATCCATGGCTTCAGGCGGAGGAGGCGTAAAATGAGTCTTGAATTACAAACTGATGAAACTTCAGAATACAATGAAAGAGACTCGCTCAGCGATAGTGAACTAGAATGTAATAAGTCTGTTGCAGCTAAATGTAGAAGTAAATTTAGTGAAAGTGAAGAAAACAAAGCTGAACAAAGACCTCGTTCAGCACAAATTGCTGTTGGTTGTGGAAGACAACACAGTAGATTGCAGGGTGCAAGTATTCAAAGGATGAACTTTGACGACACCACACCAGAAGAATTAGCATCATATTTTGATCAGTTGCTTTATTTTCCTAAGCCTATGTCAGCCATGGCTGAAATGATGTATACATAGCAACACAACATGTGGGCTATGAACTACATGTACCAAGCTGAAAATTCGTCATCTGCTATTGTTTGTATTTTGCGGGGGTTTTGTGATCTGAAAAAATTCCCTTTTCCCTTTGTATTAGTTGTGACTTTCTTTAAATTTGTTATGATGTATTCTTGTTTTAAAAGGAATGATTACGTTATCTTGGTCATAGTAATAATTATTATTTATTTGATAAATAAATTGAATTATACAAATACTTGATTAGGTGAACTTCTGTTTTGTAGTGAAAATTATTAGTTGAGTGAAGCTCGTTTTGAAAATAGAGTGGTCTTAGTTAAACTGCTGTCAGCTCCAATTACCCTAAAACTGTGTGATTGTCATAAATTTTTAAAAGAGACTTTGTTCTGTAACAGGGTTCGTGCAAGTCATGGAAAACCAGGAAGTCATGGAAAATTAAAGTTTTGTTTGATAGATTAGTTTCAGTCTGTAGACTGCTAACAAGGCAAGGACAATGTAAGGTTATAAAGAGGGGTAATTAAACAGCACAGACAGCACACATTTGTTTGAGGTCCACCAATACCCTAGAACAAGGAAAGTTTTTAAAAGCTTTGAAAGTGACAGCTAAACCTAAGGCTTAGAAAAAAAATATGTATTTTTAACATAAGCAAATGCCATCTGCACCTCTGCCGTGATGGGATATACCCGTTTGCAGATTATGCGATTAGAATTAAATAATAATTTTCTAGGAAGCACAAATCTACTTCAATTAATACTTACGAATAAGGTGCCACCTATCTAGGGATCAGTAACTAACTACATACTAGGAAAAATGATTCATAAGAGAAGGTAACGCTTTATAGAGTGTCAATCGCTGGTTCTTGAAGGAGTCAAGAGATCCTAAGGTTCCACATCGATTAATATCAACCACACAGAGAGAAATTTAATTCTGAACCTCTTGTAGTTTTTGACCTTCTCAAGAAACAATGAATGAAATTGCCTTTGTGAGCGACACAAATTTAATAAGGGAACAAAAGCGAGTGTACTTGTTACAGTTGATTTTTATCTCATGTAATTTTTGTTTTACTTTTGATTTGGGGTATGGTACTAATGTGTGCTAATGGAGTTGAAAAAATGAAAACATAAAAAATACTTGAGATAAAAAATTGACCACAATAAAATAATATATAAATAATTGAAGAAAGAAGGAGCTATAGTAATTTCAAGTCAGCGATAACTGCACCTCATCCTCCTTTATTCTGGTCAACTTAAATTTTTTTGCGTGTTTGTGATTTTTTGGCGGGGAGCGGGGGCGGGGGGGAGTGAT